ATTGCTTGAGTTTTTTTTGTGGGAGGGGGAGGGACTTTGTTTTTTGTATTCATTTGTCTTTCCATATTGCAGTGTGGAGGGACCCAACTTTGATCTCCGTCCACATTGCATAAAACCAGCTTTTCTTACCATGGACTGATATTTCCAACTCTTACTTTGCAGACATCTGGACTGGGCTTCTTTGCAATGAGAACAATCCAAAACCTCAACCTCAGATCACAGACATGCCACTAACTGTAAAGGATCTTCTGCTTTCCAGTAGTTTTGACATGGTGAGATCTGAACTGTAGCTTATTGAAATTAATGTATACAGTAATCTTTTTGATCGAGATATATATATATATAATATTAGCAATGTTTGTCAACCCCTACCACTTTTCTGGATTTCTGCAGGAATGTCTTCTAAAATGCCATATGATCTTAATCTAAGTAATAAAAAAAAACTACAGTCTTAATTAATAACACACACAGGGATAGGCATGAGATATTCAGCAGGAGAGACACCAGACTTGCTCCTGAGGTCCATTCCAGTACCAGGCACCTCCAACAGCCATCTGCTTCTCTGATTCTCTTCCTCAATCAGCATGTGAGGCCTACTCCAGGCCGGAGGCCTAGGCAACATTCCCCACACTTGAGCAAAGCTTGGGGGGGGGGGCAGGTTGAAACTCCAACCAGACTAGAACTAGCCTGAGCACATGGCAATTCCTTTGAGTATATATGCACCCCCCTTTGAAGCAGACTACTACTGGAGTCTGGAGATTACAAAATAAGCTGTCATCCTGAGAGCAGATGTCTAAGCAAAAATTGGATGGGAAAAAGGGAAAGGTCAAACATTTTAACAAAATTTCTTCAAGTGACATATTGTATAAAACTACTAAACACCAATTTGCATCAATCGTTGTACAGTATCAGACTAGATGCTGTCACTGGGCCATAAGTCATCTTGTGACAGGTACTCTGACAATTAATCTTTATCACATTGAGCATTGAAGTAGAGCCCTACTTCTATCTAGAATAATCTATCTTATGCTATTCCTATAGAATACATTCCTATTCTATTAAAACACATTACTATCACCTAAATCCTTTAGCAGCTGACCTAGCGTTTCCGCCTGCGGAAGAGGAGAAGAAACAGTAGCATATTTCACAGTAACATTACCTTATACTATGCCCAAAAGAGATTAAGTAGAGAACACTTTTATACTATCAGTATATACTGTATATAAAAAATATACACATCCTAAATGTACATGAGGCCAGACTCCCAAAGGAGTAATCAATCCTATCTTAAGAAGTCCATCTCTTACTAGGGAGCTCTATACAGTTGATCCTTTGGAGGGTTCCAAATGTGGGAATTAATGAGAGTGTAGAAAATGGTTCATGTTCCCACCAGGACATCTTTTGACACGATGAAACTTTATACACCTGCCTCAGCCGAAACAGACACTCTGGATACCTATCCTATCTAACTAACTATATAAGCACACTATACGCATTATGTCTATCGGTCACCAGAGAAGGGTGGAAGATGCTATTGGGGCATCCAGTTGCTAAAATCCCTAGACAGGCTATGGAAGACCCGATTATCCAAGTGCCCCCCTGGAAAAGCACCTTGTCCACATGCCGATGAGCGGAGGAGGACAGTAGCCTGGTATAAAATGACAACAAATGGGCAGAGCCAGCCGTGAAGGGCTCTGGCAGCCTAAGGGAGCCGAAGGATTAGCCAAAGCTACGGCTATATCCTTCGTCTCAATAGTGAATAACCCTATTACTGTGAATAAGGGCTGAAAGTTAGCAAACCTCCAGCATGACTTGAAGGCAGGGACCTACAGGTGCTACATAAGCTATCTTCCTGTGCATATCAAAGGCTGCAAAACCCTGGGCTTTCAGCTATGAAAATACAAATGTTAACTCCTCACTGACTGATAGTAAGATGCCAGAGGCAGGAGAGTAAAGGCTTTAACTACTTCAGGACCGCCCACTGTCAGAAAGTCCTGTCCTAAAGTAGTTATAGCAAGAAGACGGCTGCTGTACCCATGGTCTTGATACTGTTTTAGACAGCGGGCAATTGCTGTTCAGATACCAGCAATCCAGCGTCTATATAGCCGCCGGATCACTTGTACGGTGCGGCGGAACATGCTCCCCCCCTGCCACCGGCTACCCCAGGCTCCACTGTCCCCCCGTAGGGGCCCGGGACCGGCACAGCAGATCGGAGGGAGATCAGCAGGCTTCTAGCCGCTGATCTCTCCTCCAATCACTGGACCCGGAACCGATGTATATTAGATCACTTCTGGTGTCACTGTTTACATTCTCTGGCTCTTAGAGCCAGGAGAAGAAGCTGGTGAAGCAGATATCTGCTTCATCAGCTTCTTTGGGGTCCATAGGTGACATTAGGCGTCTGGAAGACCCGTGATGTCACCATAAAGATGACCTGTCACATTATATTTGCTATTACATAGGGGGCTTGTTAGCCTCCTACATGATAGCAAAAAAGTTGAGTGTAAAAAAATAAAAAAAATGTATGTAACATATTCATCACACATGTTTCATATCGTCACGTACGCCGGAATGAAAGCAATAATTCTAGGGCCCTCAATCACTGTTACCACTAAACTGATGAGCAGTAAATGTTCCGTTAGAACTTACCGGTGACGGGATTTCTTTGAATCTTCCAGAACAGCAACCTGAGAGATGATTGGTTCCTCCTTCTACAGGAAACACAATTGAAACATTTAAAAGCCCCTCCCACCTCCCTCGTCCCTCAGTTGAGATAAAAGTAGACTACATCCACCATAGAACGAGGGAAATAAAACACACCCATAAACAATATAGGATACATGCATAAACCAGGGTGGGAAGTAGGCTTGCTGTCTTGGAAGATTCATAGAAATACTGTTACGTTCTAACTGAACATTTCTCCACTCATCTTCCAGGACAGCAACCTTAGAGGATAAGCAAGCTTGACCAAACAGCTGCTCTGCAGATCTGCTCCACCGATGCCCCAGCTTTTTCTGCCCATGATGTAGCCAATGATCTGATAGAATGGGCTCTAACTGCGGGAGGTATCTCCTGACCTTCCGATTTATGTGCAAAAACAATAACCTGCCTAATCCATCTGGCTAAAGAAGGTTTAGATGCCTGCTGGCCCTGACTCCTGAAAACAAGTACGAATAGGTGGCTAGATTTCCTGAAAGATTTAGATAATTCTAAATAAGTAATCAAACAACGTCTGACATCAAGAGTATGAAAGAGTATGAAAAAGACAATCTCTTGTGACCTATGAAACTGTGTGGCAACTTTTGGTAAATACAATGGGTCCGCTCTGATTATCACCCTGTCAGGAAGAATATTCAAATACAGTTCCTCTATTGATAGAGACTGCAAATCCCCAATTCTCCTAGCAGAAGTAATAGCTAAGAGAAAAACCATCTTAAGTGTTAACCATTTTATGGATGACTCTGAAATACCAGAGACCAGGGCCGTCTTTAACGCAGGGCAAAAGGGGCAGTCGCCCAGGGCCCAATCATTGTTGTGGGGCCCAAAGCAGCTGCCCCTTCAGCCCACATAAGCAGTGGCGGAACTACCGCCGGTGCGGGAGCACCAGGGCCTCGGACCTCTAGGGGGCGAAGCGCCGGATTGGTACCCAGCAGCCAGCAGGCCCCCCATCTCTGCGCCGAGAGTGTCGGATCATCCGTTCATCCGACACTCCCGGCGCAGAGATGGGGGG